TTAATCATCCATCTCGCACACCAAACATTGAGAATCGGCAGTGAGTCCCCTGTCTTTTCTGTTCCACGTTGGTCATAATTCTATGATATGGAGAATGAGCCATATGAAATATTTAATCCTCTACGGACCATCAAAGCCCTACGCGAGATTCCAGAAACTATCTCAAGTAGCCAAATTATCCTGCTAAAGTTTATAAAATGTCGTTTTGACCATACATTCACTCGCTTGTTCCCATTGTCAAGTAGGTTAGTCTCCCCTAAAGGAATCTCAAGGTTTGAGAATAGACAAAATGCACTAAACAAGATCTTCACTCAAGGTTTGTCTCAAGAGAGTTGTATTTTATTCCCTATTCATATCGATGAAATCACGGACAATCGTAAGAAGGTTATGAATCTGGTCGGGACTAACTTATTCAACCAAAGATGTCATCTCAGGCACCCATAACTAAAACATAAATCTGGTTCGCCTTCCATCGCCTAACAACCAACAAACATTATCCTAACATGCTTCCAAATCCTAGATAAAGACTTTCAGATGAAGGAACTATTCCTTACCTAGATTTGAAATGACACCACATCAAAAATCTTTCTACTTGGATCACATAAGTCGAACCTATAGAGCATCTGACCTCATAACGAGACTGAAAAGGATGAATTCCAAGACCACCAAGGGACGTTGGTTGACAATATATGGGTGAGGGTGTCAATATGTAGCCCCTCTCTAAACCTCCTACAACGAAGGTCCTCGGTCGCTACTAATTTAGACTTATAGCGGCTCAGGCGGAGAAAGCTCCACTCATATTTCATCACAGACCGGTCACCCTGAACTAGATATGTGAACTAGTCCCTCAAATCATCAGTTTGGGCTTCTCATATGTACTTCTATCTAAACTCCTCTAAAAAGTTCCCCCATCAGTTGATGGCATCACCCTTTAGCAGCGCGATGACGCACTCGAGCTTACCTTCTAGGGTATGGTACAGTTGTCTGAGAGTGCAGAGGGTCTTGCGAAGTAATTGATCGGTGGTAATCGGATCGTCATCCCTAAAACCCAAAAATCGATAGTCTTGTAATGTTAGAGTCTCTCTATTGGGGATTTTTGAGGTACTATAGGTGGTAAGATGTGTGGTACGGGTGTAACAAATGCTCTCGAGATAGATCTAACAATATGCCTAAGGATAGCTCTGAGGCCCCTGAAGAATATGGCCTCATCAACTCCTGCGTCATCCGGGATACCCATATCCTCAGAGTCCAAAACGAACTCATCGTCTGTATCTCCGACGAGGAATGCATGACTCTCATATGACCCTTCTGACCACACACAAAATCATTAGCCATATCCTACATAATGTAAAAAAAGAGGATTCATTATCGTTATTTCAGATAATTAAGTACTCTTGATACTCTCGAGGCATGTATATCATTAGCACTCATTGACTCTAACCTGCGGGTCCTAAGAACGACTAAACATGATGCTCTGATACCACTAAATGTAAGACTCAAATTCGACCCGACCCAAAGTCCAGAGATTTGAATATTACACAGAACCATCGAAGTGACTAACCATTTTTTTGAAAACATTTCTTAAAACGCAAATAAGTCATTCATAATTTAAAGTGTAAAGGTTTAAGGTTTATAAATGGGGAGCTCTTAATCAATCATTCAAAATAAACATACGAATTTTAAACAAAAGAGTTACGACTTAATTTTACAAAAGGTTTATGAAATGCATGCCCTCTAAAATAACTAAGGCTTACTATGAGACTTGCCAAAATTTGGAATCCATAATCTGGCGATAAACTCCTCAACAACTATCGACTGGCCTACGAATAAAAACAAATTTTAAATGTTTAGCTATGAGCTCAGTTCCACACAGATAACTCTACTATACTACATGCATCCATTAATTGTGTATACTAGCAAGTGTAGTCATGTGGCAACAAAATGCATCAAGCTTACATCATAAAAAACTATCGAATATAATCATACGTATATATATCTTGTGGCCTTGCCTTCAATTAACAGAAGCGCCTTAGCACTAATAGGAGGATATTCAAATATCTCAATTCATATTTATTTGGAAAATGTCATACATTCAAGTAGCTTGGATATCCTTATTATTTTCTCGAACTCCACACAAGGGTTTAATTCTATGTATCATTCCTTCCTAACTTTCATTTACTTCTCATAGAATATTTGGGCTTTCACTTTCAAGCTTATTAGAGAGATTATGGGGATTTGAATCCCTTTCCCAATCTCTTAAACAAAAACTAGGCTTCTCACCTAATTCAATACGAGGATATTGGTACTGACCCTTTAGTATCAATACTAACGCTCCAGTATCGTTACTCATCCTTGGTATCGATACCAAAATTGGGTTTGATTTTTATTTTAGCAACTCAAAATCGATACCCTTACTTAGTTTACCGATACTAGGGTTGTAAATGAGACGAGACAGATCACAAGCTACTCGAGATCGACTCAATAAATACTCAGATCGAATGGACTTCACTCGAGCTCGAGTTCTTAAAGAGCCGAAATGAGCTACTTGATACTCGACTCAAAAAACTCGTGAGCATCTTGAAAATATAATATATTAAGATTTTATTTTTTTAAATAAATTATTAATAATATTAACATTTATGTGTTGACTTTTTTAAATAAACACAGTAAGGTTTTCATGAATTTAAGGTTCAGGTTCAAGAGTTTGAGGCTTCAATCGAGTTAAGTTTAATAATTTTTTTTTCATTTCGAGCCTTTTCGAGCTACTCACGAGCTTCAGTTCAGGATTTCAAGTTCAAGTCGAGCTTGAAAATTTTAAGCTCGCGAGTTTTCTAGTCGAGTCGAGCTCCATTTCAGAGTTTTCGAGTCGAGTCTTAACAAGACTCGAGCTTGACTCGAATCATTTACACCCTTAATCAATACCTTAATCATGGTATTGATACCTCTGAAAGTATCGATACCAAAATTGACTACTGGAATTTGTCATTTGGGGATTATACCGATACCCTACCTTTAGGTATCGATACCCCATGAACAATATCGATACCCAAGGAATAGGTACTAATATACCAGCCAAAACAACCTTTGTTTTAGGCTATCTAAAAAGCAATATTGGTACTATTCATCTAGTATCTATACTCAAACCCAAAAATACTATGTTATAGCACGAAAATGTCCCCCAACTTCCCTCACAAGTCCTTCTATGACTCTTAAACGTTATTTAAACTTTATGGGAGTTCAAATGGATCATAATAGGTCATTTTAGGGCATAATAAACGTCAAAACATCTCATTTTCCTCATAAATCACAACTCATTTTTGCACCCATGAACATAACAAGCAAGCAAATCACAACCTAATGATGTACATGTAGTATGGGTGAGTTAGGAATGTGTTACCTCACTAATAGCTACTAGGAAATCGTCCACAAGGTAATGCAAGCACCAACTTCTCATTATTCTTACTTTTGGAACTCTTTCCAACTTCTCTCACTAACTAAAGACAATGAAGTGGATTACTAATGTACTAAAAGACTCCAAATGAGTAAAAATATAATTCTAAACACTTAGGAATGGATTAGGAACACTCTAGAGTCTTAAAACCAAAACCCCTCGAAAACCCCCCATGACTACAATAGCCAAAGCTTGAAATTATGCACTTGAGATGTAGCTCTAGAGGAGGAGAATGTAGTTCTTACCTTCACAAATCCGAGCTAAAGCTATTGAACAATAAAGTTACTACCTTTGAGTGATTTGGAGAGCGAAAAGAAGAAAATAAAAGATGATAAAGAAAACAAGGGGAATGGCTTTCTCTTTCCAACATGTGACATAGGCATCTAAATGGGTGGTTAGCCCATTTTTCAAACAATGTATAAATTACTCCCTTAGTCCTCCTTAGTTTGCCCACAAATCAAAAACACCCTTTTTAACATCTTTTGTGCTCAACCCAAGCATAACTCCATGTCATACTTAACTCAATTGCTTCTAAAGGGCTTACAATACTTCTCTAAGCCCAACGAATTTACTTGAAACTACTAGCTCGGGTTTTGGAGTGTTACGCATTATCTTGAGTGACATGACACATATCATTTCATCACTTTAAGTGATTTGATACATGCTATGTTATTATCTTGAATGATGTGACATATGATATGCAATCATCTAAGTGTGAGATATGACATATATCACATCATCACCTTATATGATGTGACACACATAATGTTATCATTTTGGGTGATGTGACACATGTAAATCATCACTTTAGACGACGTAACATGTGATATATCATCATCTTAGGTGACGTGATATATAACATATTAGTAATTTAGCATATGTAGAAACATCACATCATCAACATACATTGACCATTAACCAAGTAATCAATAAGGATCGTTTTAATAGAAAATTAAAATGTGAAAAGTTATAGTGTTCATAAAAATTGGGACTAAAATTATCATTTGAACAAATATTAAAGACTAATTTTAATAATATGTTAATGTGATTTTTTTAATTGGTATAAATATAGAAATTTGATTATGTAAACGAAAAGATTTAATTAATATAATAATAATATTTTAGATATTTAATTAAAATTATTTTAAAATTGGATCAATTTAAAATTTAAATCATAACTTAAGGATGTCTAGTATTAAGGGGGAATTGAAACATCCAGCTATCATTATCTACCTTTAAATTGAAAGGAAAAAAAAACCAAGTAATGTAATATGATGGAGTGGATTCTCCAAGAGGGCTTTGATTTAATCTATAAAGATTGAATCGCTCGAAATTTAGCAATTCATAAATTGAACAAAAACATAGTTTTAATCAATGAATCAATAATATAATTACATAGCAAAAGCTATAATATACTGTCAAAATACAGGGGTCATCCATAGCTTGGATATGCTCAAGGATATACGCTTGGATTCACCACCCAACTCTCTATCATCTTCTTTTAAACCATCTTCTTCAAATTGAATGAACCCATTTTTTCATATTCTATTTTTTTCCTCAAAAGTTTTTTCTTTTAAAATCAATGATCTTTGCGTTTTGTTTTGCATATAACTGAGAAAAGGATTGAGTTTGGTGCATGCAGACGACGTGTTTGCGAATAGTTCTAAATAAAACCTTTGTGCTTGAATTGTTTGTTTGTGAGAAAGTTTTTCAAACGAAAAGGGAAAGATGGCAGCAGCAGCAGAAACGGGTGAGAGAGTGGTGGTGATCCTGGACGGATCGAGGGAGGTGAATCCAAGCGTAATTAGATGGCCCCTCCTGGGTTTATCACTCAAATCTGGGGACAAGCTTTTTGTAATTGGGATTCTTCACCAGGTTATTAATCCTAGTACGTTTTCTTTCATAAGAGCTCGAAAATTCAGTAAGAATTCAAGCTTGTCTTCTGTCTGCTCGAAACGGACTACTAAAACGAATTCGGGTTTAATTCAATTGGTTCATTTAATTACCTCAAAATAATTTTATTTTTTATTTAAAATAGTCTGAACGATTACATAATAAAATATATTTAAAATTTTCTTAATTAATTGATAATTCTCACACCCCTTACGTAATTACTATTCTAAAAATAATTTTATTTAACTATGGAATTCATGTCTATTTTGGATTTGATGATAACATACGTAGATTTACGATGTACATTTTCCAAACCACTTTCAGAAGTTCAATTTTGAAAATTTATTATTTCTTCTATTTTATTCACTAAACTTTAAAAGTTTTTTATTTCTTCAATGAACTTAATAAATTGAGTTTTTTGTCACTGAACTTTACTCTTTCTCTCTCGTATTTTGATCGCTTCGTCATTAAATAGTTATCGACGTTAAAATCGACACCGTTTTAAAAAACAAATTTTTTCTCAAAACGACGTTGTTTTGCATCTATATAATCTCATTTTAACGTCGTTAACTATTTAATGCCGACAAAAAAAATCTCAATGTATTAAGTTCAATGATGAAATTAGAAAGATTTAAAGTACAGTAAGTGAAATATGAAAGAAAATAAAGTTCAGTTGTTAAATTTTTAATTTACCCAAAAATTTATCTATTAAAATCTTTAAAATTCTATTATCGTTGAAATAGCTATAATCCATTGACATGACAATTGATAGGTTAATACAATTATTTTTTAAAAAATTTGAGATGATTATATGATATTTATTTAGAATCTTTATTAATCATTAACAACTCACACGTTCTACAAATGCAGTTACTTGTACTCAAGACCTTTAAAGAGAACAACATAATCTATTCACTGAGATCACTTAATAGGTTCCAACATGATTAGTTAAACCTATTATATAACGCTCAAACCTATTTAACTTGTTAATCCACAAATAATTATCATGCGTATCACTGAAGAAGAATATTTTTCCCTCTCACACATACTCTCTCTCAACTTATCTTACTATTATCATTTTTATCGAATCACCACGAGCTCTTTATCTTTTTTTTATAAAATTATCAAATACGACTCATCATTTAAATTAGAATAGATAAATCATAAAAAATTATCAAATCTTATTTCTCTCGTCAGAATTTGAATTAAAATTGTAACATTTTCATACAATCATATATTAAAACTTTAACATTTACTACTCTTTTGATAGAAGAACATTGAGAAGAATCCCTTTTAGTTGTCCCTTTCTTCAGTTTTGTCCACGTCCATGAATGGTTTTGTTTTTGCAGTGGGATTTAGATCGAAGCTGGAACCGGGATCAATATTTGGACCAAACAAGAAGATCGCTGTAGAAGAAATGGGGAAGAAGTTAGAGGAGTACAAAAACAATGCCGATATCCTCGGAATATCCAAACAATGCCAAGAGGAGCAGGTACAGGTTTTTTACCTCTTCAATCGTAACATTAATGACGGATTTATAAATATTTTTGAGGATGTGGATACATACGCTAATAATATAAAATTTTCGTTCGAGTGAATGCAAAAAAAATTTAGTATGAATACAAACAATAAAATAAATAACTACTTGTGTATCATATTCATGAGTTATGATTTAATATTTTAATATGATTACATGATAATATTTATGTTCAGTGTCAATTATGGATAAACACGCACTTACAAATAAAATTGTTTAAACTTAGATTATCTAGGAGGAAAAAACATTCCTTTTCCATTAATATCACTCCTTGATTTCATTCAAGACACATGTCGTTAATATTTAATGAAAGTGTCGATGTGTCTGTTAACACAATTGGTATATTTAATCTTTAATACTTTTACATTTAATTAATTTGATTATTTTCAATTTAATATAGGGTTAATTGTATGATTGATCACTTATGTTTGTGTCTTGTTCACCTTTTCTCACAAATTTCCAAAAATATAATATATGGTCACTTTTCTTTTTATTTAATTAACATGTGGTTACCATGGATTAACTATTGTTAACAACTAATAGATTAGGTGATGTGGTATTTTAGTATAATCACACATTTAGTTCTATTATTTACATATTCTCTCAATTTAGTCACACTTTAATAAATTAAAATAAATTTAATCCTCCAATCAAATAAAATATATTTTAACTTAATTCAAACTTTTCAAAGTATATATTTTATAATTTAATAAATATATTATATTATTACTTTAAATTTTTAAATATATTTTATTCTTATCTTAACTTCAAAATATTTTAACATAAGATATATATTTTTTTGAAAACATTAACATAACATATATATTTAAATTATTAAATATATTTTATTCGATTGGGTTATTAAATTTATTTTAATTTATTAAAATTAGGACTAAATTGAGAGAATACATAAATAATAAGGAACAAATGTATATTTACCAAAATATTTAACGGAAGTTAACTCGTGGCGACCACATCTTAAATAAATAAAAACGAAAGTGATCATATATTATATTTTTTGAAATCAAAGAGGAAAAATGGATAAAAACACAAACATAAGTGATCAATCAATTAGTTAACCCTTTAATAAATTAACCCTTGAGATGATACATGTAAACAATTGATTGGAGATATTTTATTATATTTAATTTATTTAACGATTTGATTGGATTAAAAATAAATTGGAGATAAAATGCATTTGGGGAGATCTATACTTCCCTAAGCTAGAAATGGAACACTTAAGTTATTGGACCAAGTGCTTCAATTGGTTCATTAATTTCAACAAACTATAAGAGAGCCTAGGTTTGAAACTAGGCCAATTATAAAATAAAAATAAATTGGAGATAAAATGTATTTGGGGATATCTTATAATCTTGTTAATGATAGAAAAATAAATAAATAAAATTATTTAAACGAGGTTTTGAACCTAGGCCAATTATAAAATATAAGAGAACCTAAGATTCATATTTTACAATTAAAACATTACATTTTAAGTCGTATTTAATGTCATATTTAAAATTAAAAATAAATTTCATATTTTTTATATTTATAAAATTAAATTCAATACTTTTTTCATATTTATTTTTAAAAATAAATATGAAATTATAAAAATAAATATGAGAAAAATAATAATTATAAAAACTACAATATCATATTTTAAACGGTATTTAATTTGTATTTAATTTAAGATTTAAAATTTAAAAATAAGTTTAATATTTGTATATATTTATATTTTTAGAAGTTAATATGAAATTATAAAAATAAGCATGGCAAAACTATTACATTTAGTTTAAAGATATTAAAATATTAAATTTATAATTTTTTATTTTAAATCTTGAATTAAATACGGTTTAATATATATAATGTATTTAATTATAAAATAATATTATATTTGTTTAACTAGTTTGGATTCTCTTATATTTTATAATTGACCTAGGTTTGAAACCTCATTTGAATGATTTTATTTCTTTATTTTCCTATCATTAACAACATTATAAGATAAATAAAGTTTGTTGTAATTATTAAACAATCACTTGGTCCAGTTGTAACACCCCTAATCTGTACCCGACCGGATATGAATCCGAAGTGTCACATCGACTTTTCAAAGCATAGATTATTAACCAATAAGGACAATTTAAACTTTTACTCATAATAAAAAAAATGAAAACCTTTAATTTAAAGTATTTAAAAAACTTACATTCATACTTAAGTAAAAGCTTTAATAATTTACATAATTACAAAAGTACGAGTTTACAAAAAATAGATCAGAGCATTTCAAATTAAACGTCCAGTACATGCCAACAGTTTACAAAATTTCAGAAAACCTACATTCAATTTGTTTTGATCTGATCTTCAAGGGAGTATGCTATCCTCGACTAGCTTCACTCTTCTGATTTCTTCAAACCTACATGTAAAACATTCACACGCTAAGTCGATGACTTAGTGAGGCAAATACGAGAGAAAACTAAACTTTATAAACGAAATCTTTATTTATTTAATAGAAACATTTCATACAGAATTCCTAATTGGTTTTCCATAACCATAAAGTATATTTTTATACATTATTCATTTTATCTAACTTTATTTCCAATGCCCAACGTATAATACTGAGAACTCTAGGTATTTGAGTATATTGAGGTTGTGCACTAATGCTGTCACCACAGCTCGTATAATTTGCACCGAAGTGCCACATAATTTTCCTGAAGGTCCACATAAGTTTGTCCCAAAGGACCACATAGGTTTTGTCCCAAAGGATCACGTAATTTTGTCCTGAAGGACCACATAGAACCCTCGACTCTTGGCATGCCAACTATACCTCTAATCCTCATACATATACCTTGGGCTTTTAGCCACATAATTATTTGTCATTCATTATTCGAAGTATCTCTTATTCACATAGGCACTTTTACATGGAGTATTTTCGTATACAAATGTTCACAAGTCACATTTTCATAATCATAAACATGTAATCTTCAACATAGCTTACATAATATAAATTGAATAAAACATTGTAAAAATATAACATAAAAGAAATTGGAAGGTTTTCGATCGAAAACACTGAGTTGGCTTATCGCAAGTCTTCCTCAATTCTAGTACAAAACCAAGAAGTTGCACTCACATTTGCCTCACTGAAGTCCTAAATCAAGTCATTAACAGTTTTGATCGATAATTTATAACGTCAATTTGACCGGAAGTTGATTTTGTTCAACATCTACATAAAATAATCAAAAATAAATATCAAAATTTGAATTGCTTATATCCAATCATAATAACTTAAGCTAAAAAACACTTAATTTATCATTTCATGCTCAATAGTATCAGTACTCCCACTACAGTACTGATACTTCCCTTCTATGTTATCGATACCCCCCTTCGGTACCGATATCATTTCGACATACTGGAATTTCCACTTGAAAATGGTATCGATACCTTACTCTTCCTATCGATACTCCCCTTTCAATGTTAGTACCTCAGTCAATTAGTACCGATACTAATCTTCGAATTCCAATTGGTTTAGCCTTGAAGTATCGGTATTGTTCTTCCAGTACCGATACCATTGTCCAAAATTTACCATTTCCATTTCGAAATTTAACCAAAAACTTAACTAATCTCCCACTTTACCTCCTTCTATACCTTTAAACTCAACTTCATTAAACAAAACCAAATTGTCTTCAATTAATACTCCTAAACATACAAAATCTCACTAAAACTCTTACATCTCAAAATCATATCAGGATTTCAAACAAGTTCTTAATCATTTCTAATCGTTAGATCCTTGACAAGTCAAATTTACCAATAATACTCCAAAAACCACACCATATCAACAATTCATTTCAAAACCCATTTTACAATTCATTTCTAATTCCCTCCTTTTGTTGTTTTAATTCTATACAAGCTTTCCTTAAGCTTATATAACACCCAAGCTTTCAACACCAACCCAAAAATTGAAGGAACCAACAAATTTCAAAACTTACCTTTGAAGTGGAGCTCATTGGCATGAGGAAGAAAACAATAGAGGGTTTTAGACTTTTCTCCCATAATCCATGTGCTTATCCCTTTAGAAAATAGATAAAAAAATCTTTCTTTTAGAAAAGACTATAATAACCTTCCAAAATTACAGATTTGATATCAAATTCTACACAAAATTTCCACAATAAATCCTTGAACTTTTTAAACTATTATAATTAAACCACTAAGTTTTAAATTCTTAAATTTTGGTCACTGGCCGATGATTGGGGTATTACAAATCTCTCCCTTTAAGAAAATTCGTCCTCAATTTTTTATTGCACAAAGAGGTGGGGTTATTGCTTCCTCATATCTTCTTCATGCTCCCACGTAAATTCTTATACGTTATGGTTTCTCCATACAACCTTAACTAGCGGAATCGTCTTGTTCCTAAGCTTCTTGATATCATACGCTAGAATATGTACCGGTTCTTCCTCGTAGGTCAGGTCAGATTGAACTTCTATCTCGTCTGGAGTTATGATGTGCGCAATATATCATCTATATCGTCAAAGCATAGACACATGGAAAACATTGTAGATCTTTTCCATTTCTAGTGGAAAATCTAACAGATATGCCACTAGTCCAACTCTTTTCAGAACTTTATATGGTCCAATGAACCTAGGACTAACTTTTCCTTTACTCCCAAAATAAAGTACTTTCTTCTAAGGTAATACTTTTAGGAAAATCTTGTCTCCTACTTGAAATTCAATTTCTTTCCTCTTCAAATCTGCTTAAGACTCTTGTCTGTCTATGCCATTTTAAGGTTGTGCTGGATCACTTGAATATTTTCTTCAATTCTTTAATCAAGTCTGGGCCATGAACTTCCCAATCTTTTAATTCATATCAATTAAGTGGCGTTCGACACTTCGTTCCATACAATGCTTCATACAGTGCCATTTTAATGCTTGATTGATAACTATTATTATATGGAAATTCTGCCATCGGCAAATACTTTTCCACGATCCAGAAAAATCGATCACGCACGCTCTCAACATATCTTCCAGAATTTGAATCGTTCTCTCTGATTGGTCATCGGTGTGAGGATGAAAAAAGTACTAAAATTCAATCAGGTACCCAAAGCTCCTTGCAAAGACTTCCAAAATCTTGAAGTAAATCTGGGATCTCTATAAGAAATTATTGAAATTGGAACACCATGTAGTTGCACTATCTCCTTGATATACAATTCAACATGTTTTTCCATTGAGTAATCCATTCGCACATGAATGAAATGTGCAGTCTTTGTATGGCGATCCACAATTACCCAAATTGAATTATTTTTGTTTGGTGATAAGGGCAATCATGTTACGAAATCCATCGTAATTCTTTTCCATTTCCACTGAGGAATAAAAATCGGTTGCAATAATCCCAAAGACACTTGATGTTTATCTTTTACCTATTACA